CGTGCACACCACGTGCAGCATCCGAACACTGCAGAGATAATTTTACAAATCAACAAAAAACCTTACAAGGAAAGGTAAAGTGTTTACACGATTTTAAAACAGCTAAAAAGTACAGGTTGAAGATCTGTACTCAAATCCAGTTCTGTCAGCTCTATGCAATAGAATACTAATAAAAAACCCCCATGTTCACAGCTATGGACAGGTTATAACCATTTCAGTTACAGTAACCAGGCAATAATTTTTACAGGCAGTTAAACAGGAAGCTCATTTTTCATATCAAACACTGAAGCATTAGCAAATGTATGGAGACTGCAAATGAACATCAAGTTAAAAATGACTGGAGTGTCAGGATGGTACTACAGTGCTTTGTAAACTCCCACAAGAGGATCTCTCTCAGACAATAACTTTCTAAAATTAGAAAACAGAGACTCTCCCACCATGCCAGGGCAAGGGAAAAGCATTTATTTATTTATCTATTAGATATTTAACATGCAAATTCACATTAACTCCTACAACACAGTTTCATTTGAGAGCTAATTGTCTTTTTTAAACCTTCTATCAAAAAAACGCCTGAGGTAAATACTCCTTTAAGTAGGGATGACTGGACTAGACTCCCTCTGGAGCTCATCAATTCTTCTCCTTAACTGACCTAAGCAAATGCTGTTTAACAATGCATAAGGCACTTCCTCCTCACCAAAGGCTTTGCATCTTGTTTTTAATGTTTTTCATCAGCTTTGTAATCAGAAGCTCTGAATAAAAGCCTCAAACATTGGCCTCCTGCACTGTGGTACAAATGGAAACTTAAGCCTTACAGGCCACCTCATCAACATAGCTTCTTGACTCGGAGTCCAAATATAAGCAGACTTCTGTTTAATAAGGCAACAGCTCTCAAGTATGTTGAGCTTGTAGGTTTGAATAAAGAAACAGTGATAAAATGCTTTTGTGAATGAAGACTTCTTTCTAGCTATCACCTGTCTGGGGCCTTTTGCAATCTTGCCAGTTAATGCCTTTGAAAAGCATGGCCTTCTGCAGGTGAAACGAGTAAGTAAAAATCAAACCAAAACAAAAACCATCCCACCTCCCCCTTCTCCCCAGCAACCCAAGGCATGCTTACTCATTTAATCAGAGAGCAGCTGAGCCAACATGTGGTTCACTTATCAGCTTTCTGAAATTGCAGTACTGGGGAACTCTAGGATTTTGATATTCAAACTCTGTACTTGTACCGCCAACATTCAACCTCACATTCCAGGGCAGGGTTGGGCTCAGAGCCTAGGACATTCCAAAAAGCATTCCAACCAGCAGGGCCCAGAGGTAGCCCCACAGCGAGCACATCCATGCTAAAAGGCTAGTAAAAATATCTTTGCATTCCCATTTCTAATAGGCAGAGTATATGTAGGCTACAAGGAGGACAAGCTGCAGTTCTCCTCACATCCACGGATCACATTTTGGCAGGTATCATTACAAATAGTTCCTGAAGCATCAGCATCAAGAGAAAAAACCACGACCGCCTTTTTGTTTGTTTGCTGTAGCCTTGTGACAGAAAAAAACCCCAGTTGTTTCACTGAATTCCATAGGATTAATAGTGAAACATTTTCACTAAGCAAATACTTAAAGTAGAACACAGCTTTGATTAGTATTGACCAAGTGTCATATTCACACCACATTAAAAAAAAAATCCTGAGGAGTGAGACTAAAGTATCCTTCAACCCAACTGTGGTCTCAGTTGCCACCCTATGCAAGAATGTAGAAGTGCAACGGCTGGATCGTTAAACTGTACGAGTCAGCGTATTTTTCTAGAAGAAAAAGTCCTGCCACCTTCTGTTTATGAACGATACAGCAGGGAAAAAAAGCACAGGAGAAACTTGCACAGATAAGTCAGTGTAGTTTGCTCTGTAAAACTTACGTGAATAGAACAATTCCTAAAGGAAAGCACTGGTCACTTAAGTAAGTACTTTAAAACCCATGCTATAAGAGGGAACATAGTAAATACAACTATCCTGTCTTCAGAACTGGTTAGGATGAGCTGAACGATCAAAGCAGGATAATAAGTCATGCATTAGTTGTAACAGTGAAGAGGAATGAAAGCATGCAACAAAGCCATTAAACCAGAACATTCTGACATGCACACAAACATACGTACACTTGCAGCTCTTCTTTACATTTTCTGAAGCTGATCAAGAGTGTCAAACATGTTATGCTTTCTAGGCATTTGCCAGGATTTAGAGCCCTTCTACATTAGCACTGAAAGCTCATTCTAGCTGAGTGTCGACTCGCTTTCCTCTTCACATGCTGTGTTTGGCCTAGCTATGGCCATCCATAATTACAGTGCAGACAACCTCATTAATGTACACAACTGCTACAATGAATTAAGGGGAGTAAGCGTAAGCATTTGTGACCACATAATAATTTAGGTAAGGATTAGAAAACATGCACTTATTAGAAAACAGAAACACAGCCCTGACAACTTTTAGCACCCATTTGATTTAAAATAATACAATAGCTGTACTTCACAGACTAGCATTAACACAGTATTTGTTTCAGCTCAGAGAGAACTATATATCCAGTATTATCCAGTTCTCTCCATCAACCAAACCAAGGCACATATTATCTAACATAAGATGACTAGTAAAGCACATAGCTAAATCTGCTAGAGTATTCATACAACCTTTGTTTAGGCATCCATCTTCAAGCACAGTTCCACGCGAATTTTTGGCAGCATGCTGCAGAAATCTGCTCAGCTATTCAACACGGAACCAAATTTTACACGTTCTCAACTGTCACTGGAGTCACCTGCCTCTCAACATAAATATGTGCTCTGAATTGCATTTCAAGTGAATTGCTGGAAGGAAACAATGTGAGAAGTCTCCATAGGCTACACCTCACTAAGAAGGCAGGAAGGATGCATGTTCACATCATGTGACAAAATGCCAGGAGGAAAAAAGAAAAGGTACAAGCACTGTTACAAAAGCCTTGGCTTCATTGAACGACCCCATCTCTTTTCTGGAGGTCCATATCAGCTGTGGCAGACTTTCTCCTGAGTTACTTTTGTTTGGGTTTTTCTATGAGCCAGGAGAGAAATTAAAAGTTCCTCGTGATTGGCTTATCTGTAAATTGGTCCCAACCCACAGTGATTGCTGCCATACAAGTCTGTGCTGTATTCAGGCGCTACCACCTATAATAACTGAGGTTTACCTACAGATTCAATTTTAATTTTAGATAGACGTTGATGACAAAAGTTGAAGCCAGATTCTTCTAAGTAGCAGGACAAGACAAAATGGGCACAAATTGACATACAGGATATTCCACGTAGACATAAGAAGATAAAAACACCAACCACCCAAACCGCCTTTTTTCTTTTTTACTGTAAGGGTGTTCAAACACTGGAACAGGTTGCCAAGAAGGTCACGGAGTCTCATTCCTTGGAGACACACGAAACCCAGCTAGACAAAGTCCTGGGAAACTTGCTTTAGTTGACCCAGCTTTGAGCAGAGGGTGGACCAGATGATCTCCAGAGATCCCTTCCAAGCTCAAGCATTCTGTGATACTATTATATTAGATCTTCCAAGAAACACTGCTAGCAGGACCTAACAACAACTTCTTGTCTATTGCTCCATCATGACCCCAACTACTACTGACAAAAACAAAACTCCTAGACAACATTCACAACAGGGAAATGGCTACTTCTGAAAATTCTGACTAATAAAATTCTTTTGTTGCTTAGGAGTAAAATTCTAGCACTAAAGCATCAAATTTAAGTGTATTTAACTGCATTTACTGCAATGCAGAAAATGTACAAGAAAACCTTTCTTCTTCTTAGATTGTATAGATTTACCATAAATTACTCTGTTGTAAACAGCAGACATTTTAAATATGAATACACAGCTATTTAATTTCACAAGTCTGAAGATTTTCTGGTGAGATATTGTTCTGTTATAAAAGAATGGTTTAATAATGGCACTATCATTTGAGGAAAAAGATTCAAATTTTTAAACAGGAAGAGTATTTATGAACTAAATCCAAATGAATTATAATTCATATGTTCTTTAAACAAAGCACTTTAGAGATCATGGCATGATATCCCTGTCATTTTGTTTTCAGACCAGAACTGATAATCTGATGGAAACTAAACCATCATTTCATTAAACCATTAATAAGTGAAATCTCTGAATTCTCTTAGTCCACGAAGACAGTCTTTTGCAGATTCAAAGCTCTAATTTAAATCAGACAAGCTCAGATGGATGATGATGAAATCAGATGAGGTCTGTATCCTTTCCTGGCATATAGCATGTACTTACAGTTTAATAGGAAATTATGATGATGGCAAATTAGGAAGAGAACATGTGCCTTTGATTAAGACCACCAGTATCACTAAAAAGCTGAATAGTAAGGCAAACTAGGTTACATTTTAAGGACAAATACATAAGAGCATATTTAGATGCCCATTACTGCAAGTAATACGTATGCAGACTTTTACTAGAACTTCCAAGTTCAAAAGAACGAAACAGCTCAAAGTGCATTCATTCAACAAATTCATGGCTACCAGGTTTGGCTCCAATTCCTTACTGGGAAGGCACATTTATAATACCCATGGCCAGGAAAGGATAGTTAATTCTATGGTTATATTTCTGGAGGGTAAAATGTAGTAGAAATTATGAAAGAATAATGTTATTTGCATGCTTAGTGTTATAACTTTTCAGTCCTCCTTTCTGCAAAAAACTTATCTTGATATACAATGGGTGTAAAGAAAGCTTGCAAGACATGCAGAAACTCATTTGACAAAACCATGTTTACTCGGCCACTAATATTTTCCTACAGTAATTTTTCTGATTAATTACATAGTTCCATAATAAATCCACCTGCTTAGGGATGAAGTATTCATACAACTCTTACCAGCACACCATAGACTTCTAAAAATAATAATAAAAAAGTAGTAAAACCAATTATAAAATTGCTTTGAAAATATCTGATACTTAAATATTATTTGGGAGAAACTTCTTAGTGTTCTTTAAAATCAAGTTGCTAATTTATCCTGTCTGAAAGGCACCATAGATACAGTGAGTGGTGAACAGTAAACATCTCATTGGCATTTTTTCACAACTGGGGAATTTATCTGTCTCCAAGAGAATCCAAATGAAACATGAACAGCAAGATAAACAAATAAGAGCTAATTTGTAGATGCATAGATTTGGCATCTCTAATTTCCACACTATCGTGGCATCTTAGGCACATTTATGGCAGATTTTTCTTCAATAAAATTAGCTCTTTTATGGGAAGGCTCAGCAAGGTCTTCTCCGTGGCCTCTGTTATTCAAGCGCTCCTGGTCTTCCCTCTTGCGTTTGATAATCAGGTGATTTTCTCCCTCACACAGCTTTCCCTCTGGGACACTCAATGTTCTCAGACAGACAATAGCTGCAGCCTGTTCTGCTAGTTTCTTTGACTTGTCCCTGAAGAGCAAGCAGACAAAGCACAGGTAAAAGTAGGAACTTAAAGTCTCTACACTGCCAAACGATGATAAATTTTCTGTCTCTGATGCAACAACATGAAATAAACAGCATTTGGAGTCATCTCACAGCAGAAGAACAAAACAGGTCAGTTCCTGTTTATTTGAATTACTTGAATCTTGCTAGGTGTCAATGTTGATGTATCACTCCTGATGTAATATCCTTAGAAAATCTGTTTCTCAGGTCTTGTGTCTTAAACACTCTTAATTTCAAAGGCATAAAGTCAATGTGTGTTTGGCCCAAGTGGCTGCAGTCCTCAGAAAGTTAAAGTTAACATTGACAAAGCTAAGTTGTGAAGGGTCACTTTCTTGGAAGACACCCAGGCCCAAATATAATCAGTGGTAGGTGTACAAATTCACTGATGCTGACAAAAGCAGGAACTGTTCCATACTAGTAAAAATTATTTCATTTCCAAGAGGGACTGCAGAATACACATTTGTGAAATTCAGTATCTGAAAACATTTTCTTCTTAAAGTTTTCTATCAGCTGAGCTTAACTTCCATTAGGAAGTATCTCTGAACAGGAATGTTGCAAACACCAGTAACTGTTGTGTGCATTTGACTTCTTTAATATATCCAATGCTGAGCTCTAGCTTTACAGTTAAATCAAGTTCAATTTAGGAGCAAATGCCTGAAGTCAACTCCAGTATTAACAGACGATTGTATAAAATACCATCACGAAACTTGAGAGCAGCCCTGAATGTAACTCTTGATCAGCTGTGATCTCTGAGAAGCCACTAAACTGTAATCTGCTTCACTGTATATAGACACTTAACCCTGACTTCTTATTGAGAATGGATCTGCTGCAGTGGCTGAAGACATTTCCTCCTCTGACATCCCTCTCTGCCTCCCTTAGTTAGTTTCTGAACTCTTCAAAAACACAACTGAACCAGGTCACCTATTTGCTCCCCTTCCAATACAATTTGTGGACTAATGTACTGAGTGAATTAAAATCTGTAAGAGTTTACTTGATTATGGTAAAGCCTACTTCCTTGTCACATTCAAATCTTAGAAATCTTTAATCCTTTTTGCCTCCCTGAGGTAGTTTTAGAAGGTAGCTCTCAGCTGACTTTATTAAAGTCAACTGGAATAAACTGGAGTACCCTTTCATTGCAAATTTTAAGCATCATTTCAGAAACAATTACAATGCAGCTGCAAAAAACATCAAGGATAGCTCACCACAGAGTTGATCTGTATTTCTGCTCAGCTACTGTCACTACTGAACAGAATAATCTATCCAGTGGCCTTTGAACCTAGAAAGAAAAAAAACAAAAAAGACATAAAAGGGAGTAGGGGTTGTCATAAATCAGTCATGTCATTTACAGAACAAACAAAGCTTCCTTGCTATTCTTATCTTTACACTGTAATCAAGTAACACCTTTAAAATTCACACCACAAAATTTAACCTGCACATTTAGGATTAAAAAAATAAGAAGAAATCGTCCAAACAGCAAATATTTTTGCTTTAAAAACAAAATCAAATAATGTCCTCACCCAACCAAGCAGTTGCTTCTGTCCAGTATAGTTCCTATCTATAACAGCGTGCAACAACAAAGCATATTATGAATCCCAATTCTTTACGTAACAGAAGAAGTAAATGAAAGTCCATCATGAACTTCTATGTGACCTGCAGTTACAGCAACTTCTTTCATACATGAATCACAACCAGACTGAAGGTCTGACTTCTAAACTTTTTTTCCTAATAAAATAAGCTGCTATTTTCTTATATATGTGCATTACCATTTCTGAAGCTGCTTACTCAAGAGCTATGCCAGACTAGGAAGCTGAATTTCTCACTATTATGAGTTCTAAAATACTTAATTTCATAGAAAAGGCAGAGGAAGAGGTTTGAAAGGGTTTCTTCATTGACTCACAGTTTCATAAACAGGCTGAGGATGCTTTTCTTTCCTACACCATTCCAGAAGATACATTTTTGGAGTAACCTGTGGTGGATATTCTCTCCTAGACAGAAAGGTCTGTGGTCAACAACTGTGCAAAATTTACTTACTAAACGGATCTCTTATAAAATAGATAGTGCTGCTTATTACATTACTTCTAACAGTTATTCTTTGAGGTTTAATTTTACAGCTCAAATTATGAGAGAAATGCTGCTTCCTTATTAGATAATTCAAGTAATGTGTCTGACATAACATCTAAAATAAAACCTAAACTTTCCTATTAATTCTTCCCAAACATTCACCTCCTATAGTAATACAACTAGAGAAAAAATACTAGAAAAAAGATTCTCACTAAATACGCAAGACAGAATAGAGATAGAGTTTGACACTGCTTATTAAAAACAACAATATGAGATTAAACACTAGAAGAAAGAAGCGACAACTGTTCAGAGACAGTAGAGTTATCAAAACAAAAAGGGTAGGAAACGTAGGCATTGATTCAGTTATGATATGGAGTCTGCAGGTTCTTGTACTTGGCAGAAAAAAGAAATACTGTAAAAACACTATTTTGTCCTCAGGGAGTCAGGTAATGCATCCCGTAAATATTAAAGCATTATGAGTGGATTTGAAGAGCATTTTATATTACACTACATCTAACTGAACTCTATCTTCATATACTCACAGTCTTCTACGTACACTAGGCTTGAATTTATTTTTTTTAAATAATCCAGCACTTTCAGTAAGTTAGTTGAGAGAATTAAGCAGTCTCAGGAAGCCTGGAACTAAAGAACATCTTACAACCTCCAAATAGCACAGGAAGGGTGGTAATGCTAGTGATTATAATGATGTACACAAATTGCTTCATTAAAATTCACTCATTAAGCACTGTTAATGCAAATTGTTATTTTCAAAAAAAACCTGTAAGGCACTGCCAAATTCAGTTTTCATTTACAGATGCAAGATAGTGAAAAACTTAATTTGCATGCTTACTTATCAAATCTAACAGCCATTTTTATTACATGTGGATCTTCCATTTGGTCATCTTCATCTTGTGTCTCAGTTTCTAAAGATGCTTTCTTTGCTTCGAAAATAGCTGTTGTTTCTTCATAGAAGTCAGCCATTTCAAAGACTTCACTATTGAAACAGAATTCCTTTGTATTAGAGATCAGCTTATACATTTTTGAATCAGTTTATGATGGAGAAAAGTGAACATAGTAATGAATTGTGTTTAAACAGAGTATAAGTGTGCAGAGGATCACATGAAAGTCTGGCTATATTCTGCACAGTGACATTATATTATTTCTCCTTCAATTCCTATCAGACACTGTTGAGCTACAAGTAGAAAAAAGAATGTTCTCAATTCCAGCTCTATATATTTAATATGCTGCCTGGAAGTCCAGGCAGACTCAATCAGAAATACAGGTCCAGCAATGTTCAAGTTATTAGCTCAATTAATAACTTGTAGGTGGATGAATCAGCAAAGAATATCTCGGAGTGACTCCTGGTGTATCAGCTCCACAAAGGCAGTATGAACAAAAAGTAGAAAATATTTAAAAACACTATAAGCCATAAACACTGTAACATACAAATACTTCAAAATATCAGATTTTCTGGCTTCAGAGTATTGTTCACAAACTTCCCAATACAAGAGGAGAAGAAACTAGGATTTGGGTCAAAAACAAGAGCCTCAAATCCCTTTGAACTTCAGATCCATAGCAGGCTCCATCTACTTTGACAAACTGAGACTATTAATATTCTGCAGATGATAACAACAATAAAACAGATGACTTTTGCTCATTGGTAAGAGGCTGTTCAATGACAAATTCTGGCTGCAAAGCCATCTCCAATGCTCTAAGTGGAAAAGCAATGAAGCTGAATTATGCTAAGTGATGCTTCCAAGAGAAGACAACTTCCTATGTAGGTATGTGATTTTTCTGTCTGAAATGCCACAGCCTGTGCTCTCCCGTTCAGACGTGGGGTTAAAACCACAGATGGCTGTAACACGCCATCAGCACCAGGAGGCAGCAGCATTCAGTAACGTGTTTGAAGATGTATAGGCTCCCTTTAAATAACTGAATGGTCTTCAGTTGTGTGGACATTTATGTCTCTTCTAACCAAATTGGAAAACTATAAGCAAAATCGACAGCCTGTACTAATAGGCTACCACTGGAGAATGCTGAAACTTTTCTTAATCAGTTAATGCAAATACTGGATACATGGCTGTCGCTCAGTGAAGCACCACTCAAATTAGTATGTCAAATATATAGACAGTTTTAGGGTTACAGGTTTAATACCTGAGCACGGAAGAAACCTGGAAAAGTTCACTGTATTATTCCGTATCTCATTAACTGGACTGTTTGTTTGTTTGTTTTGCACAACTCCTTCTGAAGGTATGAAATGTCAGGCAGTGACAGAGAAATGGTTTGCAAGTCTGACAGAGTACAATTCCTATATCTGAAGTATGCACTTACCAGATCTCCTGTGTGGACTGCGCGGCGTGCAGCCTCTTACCCTGAGTAGTTTCCAACTGTTCTCTTAACATCTGACACAAACAGTATTTTGTGTTGGTATAGTGATTATCATATCTCACTGCCTGGAAAAGAGAGACAAAGTATATAAAAACCAAACATACCAAACAAATTTATCTTACATAATCCTTATGTCTCCTGATGAACTTGAAAAATCCTTTTTGAAAGGCAAACCACAATGCACAGTTTTCTCAATAACATATTCAAGACTGCTCATGAATGTGACTATAATCTGATTATTTTGGCATGTTTTAATGAACAAAAGTTCAACTTACTCACACACATATAAAGAGTTGAGCAGTTTACATAACTGACCAGAGATGCAGTGGTATTTTAGTAATTAACTAGTTAATGGCAGTCCCAATTTTCAAAAACCAAAATATTTTGAATTGATTACATGATCAAAACCACAGATTTCTGATTAATTTCCTATTATGTCATTAAAATTGTATTTTGTGTAACAGATAAAGCTTTACATAACAGAAGACTTAAGTAATGGAGCTATAGATATACAGCATTACTGACAAATCATTCCCTGTGCTTCTCTGTTAGAAATTCTTGTCAGTGTTTGTGAAAAGCAATTAATTTCTAAAAATGAACCCAGCAGTAACTAAATACTTAATATTCCTTCACTTTTCTGTTCAATATTATTTGCACTACTGTAAGATCAAGGGAGTTGGCCTATATATTATTAGCTTTTCAAATTGCTAGACATTTTTAGATAGCCTTGTAAGCCTCATAAATGTTCCCAAGAAACTGGGACTAAAATCATGGTATGCGGGAAAAAAATTATCAGAAATAACTGTTTTCTGAATACAGATTTCTGATTTTTTTTCTGAACAATAAAACAGAGGCAGCAGTGGTGGATTTGCAGGACTCACATCTCATGCAGTATGCCAAAACACCTCCAGAGCTTAAGTCTTTGAAATTAAGACTTTAAATACTGCAGTAAGACTTGGATTAACAATTGTAAACAATGTTAACTGCAAATAAGATCTTCCAAAAAACATACATATTTGATGTAATCTTTCATGACTTCCTTCAAGGGGAGCAGACCCTCTTTTCTGAAGATAGATGGGTTCCACATGGCAGCACGAGCTATCATTATTGATGAGGCAGCTGTTGCTTTCTGGAAGGTCTCAATGTCCGTATATTCTTTAATGAAGTCATGAGATCCTCCACTAAAAATTAACATCACTGTTAAAATCATGAAAGTCTTTGTCATTACTCATACTTTAACATAGCCTTGTGTTTTCAATGTGCTATTACAGGATGACAGTGTCTATTTAGGATATTATCTCAAATCTAAGATAATAAATGGATCTGAGTTATTAACAATGAATCATATCATACAATCATAGAATAGTTTAGGTTGGAAGGGACGTTAAAGATCATCCAGTTCCCATCCCTCTGCCATGGGCAGGGACACCTCCAATTAGACCAGGCTGTTCAAAGCCCCATCCAACCTGGCCTTGAACGCTTCCAGGGAGGGGGCATGGCTCACTAAAACACTGATTATATATAATACTTTTCATTATCTGCATACTTCTCTTAAAAATAGAAGAGTGTTTTGATGAAGAAAGAATATAGTTTGGGTTTTACACAAACTGCATACTTAATGGAGTAAGTTCTTAATGGGTAAGGCTACAAAGAACAACCTCCCTAATGTTTGAAAAATTTTATCTTGTAATTGCCAGTTCTGTAACCTTAGACTGCCTACTAATTGTGCTGGTACAAGAGATACTGAACAGAAGTTAAGTATCGACAGCATTATTCCATTTTCACTCTAGCACTAACATGTGGAGTGTCACTACAAGTAGTACTTCCAGATCAGTCACAAGTTACTTTAAAGTTAAAAGAAGGCTGCACTGCTTCTATTGTACTGCCTCTTCTTTCCACTCAGCAAGTCAGACATGTTAGTAGGCAAAAAGAACGCTTAAAACACCTTTTCTTTCTCTTCAAGCCTCCCTTCACAATATTGCTACAAGCAGGCTCAAGCAGGAATACACTCAAGGACTTCTTTTGGTTATAACTGGAGCCGAGACATCCTGCCACACTGATACATTCTAGTACATTTTGAAGGACTGCAGATAGACTACGAGACACAGGTTGATAAGGGAAATTAAGGAATTAACAAATAAGTTAAAAACAAAGAACATTAAGAGTGCCTCATCAGATCCGCCAGGGACCACCAGAGACCACCGGAAGACCCCTTGTACGCAAGCACAGTTGATTTGAGAATGATGCAAGTATTTAAATGCATTATAATTATATTTAAATTGCAACCAATCATTGTAACTTAGATTGCAAAATCCTGAAACTTTAGTCTATAAACATACTAAGAAAAGTGACCATACTTGTACAAGCTAGGATGGAATAAATAATGCTCCTTGCACCCAACGTTGAATAAAGAATGCCTGCTTCTTAGTGTTACATTGGTGTTAAGAGGTTTTTCTATTCCCAATTTCAGTAACAAATATCTTTTAAATGTAAAATAAAAGTTGGACACTTCAACTATAGAGTAGAATCTTTATCCCTTCAAAAGTAAAAACATCATCAAATTCAAAATAAAATCTAGAAGTTACCTTAAAACCGGACATTTATATTGTGAAGGCAGCACAAGCAAGCTTCCTGTGCTGAGGAAAGGCTACTCCATAAACACAGTACCATTCTAGAAGTCATAGTGTTACCGAAATATCAGATCAGTGACTTTCTAAGACCAATTTGTAGGAGTCAGAAAGCAAGACATTCTTTGTTTCAGCGCTGGGAGCATACATGTATGATTTCATAAACTGAATGCTTCAAGTATTAGCAGTTGCCAGTAGCTTATATGTGACTTACACATACATATTCATGACATAAAAAGTTTACATATGCATTACATTTCCAGTAAACACATATACACTACATTTTCCATTACTAATTAAAATATCTGCATAGTAATTGTGCATGCTCAATTAGCATGCGGAATGGTCTTCCAGTGGTCTGAGGAATAGTCACATAAGCTGTGCCTTCATGGAGTCTTCTTATTTTCCAGGTTCCTGTGCTTTTGATTGCAAAAATTAAATTAGTCCAACTTACTTTGCTATTACTGGAATGGAGATTGCTTCAGATACGGCTTTGATCACATCACAGTGCACAGGGTGCTGAGGCCTCTCCTCCTTCTTCCTTTCCAACAAACAAAAAATACAAGACCAAAGATTTCCTATGGAATTTGTAGGTATGTGAATCACAGCAGACATACCTCAAATATTATTGGGATATACTTATTTCCAGTTATTTACTTTATATATTTGATACAATTTTTCTTTTTTTTTTAAACACAAGAGAATTGGTTCATATCAAATACACTGTAAAGCATTGTTACTGTAATTCCATATTCAGATAAGCAGCATTCATAGATACAGAGTATGCAAAATAATTTTAGTTTTACTTGGCCTTTGAGACAAAAATTTTAGAAAAATAGCAGCAAGTGGTTGAATTCCCTGATCACTGGCCTGATTTTCTACACCACCAATTTAGTTAACAACTGAAATCAGAACAACATATTACATGTAGACTACACTCTAGTCATATCTTACGATGCTACATTCACCAGCAAACTAAAAATTTTAAGTCTCTCTTGCCTAAAATCAATTTACCTTCCGTGGACTGCAATGGCAGCAATACCAGTCTTTTCTATTCTCTTTACCAGATTCACAGTATCCTCAATCTGAGGGATAAGAGAGAATGACACCATTTTAGATCAAAGGAATAACTATCATGTGATCATTGTGCAAACAAATGTTGGAAGTTGAAAATTACTGAATAGAAGCAAATATCCTCTGAAAAATACTGAGAGACAAAATGCCTGCCAGCCTGAAGACCATTAGCCTGGAAGCTAGGCCTGCAATCCAGAAGCACCCTTAGTAAGTGCAGCTGGGTACCTAGAAACCAGAGACATCCTGTGATACCATTGACAAGTGCAGCAACTTAGCATCTGAAAAGGAAAAAAAGGTCTGGAAAAACAGGAAAACATTCTGAGAAAGAAAGAATCTGTAACTGCCATTGGCCATTCTAACTGCAAGAACAGGAAAACAGTCTGACAAAACCAAAAATTGGTCTGAAAGAACAGAATACAATCACATATTAGCTACCCCAGATGAAAACCAGGAATTAACAGCATTTACTGGCTGCTTCAGGGATGGCATCCTATACCTACCTGTGGCTATGACATAAATATTACTAAATTTTTATCCAAAATGGATCTCTCTCTAAGATCTTCCCATGCTGCACATACTTTTCCGATGTACATACTTTTCCTAAACAGGTTGAACTCTCAGCATAAACTTTCTATGAGATCTTGTACCCTTGTCAGGGACACCTGGCTGACTCCAAACTCCACAACACAGATTACCTTTGGAGTGAGTCTTTGCTGTTTTATTGGTCCCCCTCTGGGCCCACTTTTGGGGTTGGTTCAGTTTGTATTATTTCTGGGATGGCTGGGTCCCGATCTGAGATCGGTTTGTCCTTCTGTCTGGGATGGTTTGGCCTCCTTCCGAGATGTGTCTAATGCACTTGATACTGGTATTATTACTATGAACATAAATGTGTGCTGTTACAATATTGAAAAATTTGTTTCACTACTGGTAACTTTGTAGTAACTTGTAATAGGATATATCTACTTGGTTGTTGTTATTGATTGTTGCTACATTTGATTGCTGCCATACTAATAATATCTGTTCTACTATTGATTGGTGCTAGTAATAATTTGTAATAGCATGAGGAAGATATATCTGTATCTTGCTTTACTAATCATAGGTATATTTGCTATGGTGATTTTTGTGATATTTGTGGTAATCGTAATAAGGCTGAAACATTTAGAGGATAAAAGCCTCTGTGTCCTTGTGTATCGTGGAATCCATCAAACCTGCAAACATGATCTCTATACACCCACAAGTCAGATAACCCTTTAGGTCGTGACAGCATCCCAAACAGGAGCTACAGTAACAGGTGCAAAATGCCAATATATTAGAATGCCATATATTCCAACTGATTTTAAATCACAGAATTAAACAACAACTACACTCTTTAGCATAAAGATTTATGTTCTTACTGAGGGCAAAATGCGGATTTTGCAGGTTACTGGTTTACAAATTCCTTTAACAAGGGTAGTCAATATCTGGGGAAAAGAAAACAAAAAGAAGACAAAAATGTGATCACAACAGCGACATAATAAAGCTCTCCTCCTTTCTCTTGAAGTTACAAAGAAATTGGAACAATGTAACACTAGTTACTGTTCCTCCATAAAGAATCTTACATGCTAGACAAACGTATGCAGTCTATAATTCAGTATATCAATTTATCCAATAGATATACAAACCTATTTCTACTATAAGCCATGCTTATTTCCACTTTTTTTTATTTTAACTGGATTTAACTGGTTTTAATGAGGTGACCAGTACACACTGATCAATTCAAAATAAAGAAAATTATCTAACACCCCTTTCTCTTTAGTATTTTTAAATTCTATTATTTTTTGCATATATATCAAACTGAAATGACATCATTTTCCAAACATCATCACTACAATGTTTTTCTTACAATAGCATCATAAGCAAACCTTGTAAGATTTCAGTGTCAGACTCATGAAGGATTGCAATGTGAGAACCAAATCCTACATTCTTTACTTATATGGAAAGCTTGATTTGGAGCCGTAATTTCAGATGTCTTTTGCAGGCTATAAGTTTACTTAGCCCTTTGCAGTTGGCTAAGAGTAATTATCATGCCTAAGATTTTGCTGCTTATTAACATCTTGAATTGAAAAGAACAATTCCAAATTTTTGAACATCAAGTTTCCTACTCTTCTGAAGACCAAACAAAATATAATGGTTGTAGAGAGGAAGGGAAGCTGTTAACAATCATATTTACAATTGCCTCTCATTCCTATGAGGAATATTTTTGTCAGATTTACTTCTAGCCTGCTAAATATTTTCCTCTCAATTCCCACTCCTATTTTTTTTTCTTCCAGCCTTCATTGCCACATGCTTCATAAATTATAATTTAATTCTGGACACTATCACCCATCTTACCTAATTAATGGAACACCATATAGGCCTCAAAAAACCCTGGGTTCTAGTTCTGCTGTCTGCATTGTCAGCTGACTTTCTGCAAACAACACTACTCACCCGATTCTGATTTCTCTTTTGAAATACCGAGACTGATACCAACCTTCTCTAAAAATGTTTTGAGATCAAGATTGGATCGCTTGTACTTTTGCTTTTCCCATCAGCTAATGACAGAGAGAGTAATAGGACCAGTCTATTCCATTTAAACTCTTGCTTTAGCACAACTAGTAATGATTCCAGTTGCTGAATGGTCAGTTTATACGGCTTGGCTAACACGGGGGCTCTCGACACAATACAATTCTTATATTTGGCAAAAGGCTAACACTTCATCATGGTTATACATTTGATGACATGCCCTTCCAATGGCATGTCCTCAGAGAATGAAATAAATTAAGCTGAACAAGCTGTTTTCATGTCTGAGCTTACAGAGAATAATAACTAAGCAATGGATCAGTTCGTTGAAACAGCAGAAGCCCTACTAGCCTATAAAGCTGAGTGGTAGCTATCACAATAAGAGGAAGGATTTACAAAAGACTGACTTAACATCCATTTTCAACAGAAAGGAAAGGCATGAACTGCAGAAATGAGAAAAAGACTGGCCATAATTCAGAAAAAGTCATGTAGATGAGTGAAGAGAGTTGGGCCTCTTCAAAAGACGACATCAAAGAACTTGTAAAACAAAGAACACTCAAAAGCCACATGGAAAAAGGCAGAGCAATACTTCTGGCATTTTTGTTTTGTTCAGATTTGCAACCTTTTGCTAGTAGAAGAAACAAAGAATAACAACATTGAAACTTTTGCTACTTTGTATCACGATTTGGTCATTAGTGAGGGGTGAACCTAAAACAGAATTGCCCTCAGGAACTCTGAAGGATATAGAGAGTGGGTAAAAGCTAAGAGGAAGCAAGACAAAGCTCACAGTCAGCTGATCTGAACTATGAAGAATCAGGCCTGAAACAGAAAGAAACTAAAAGAACTATATGCTAAGAATGTTCCTGGAAACCCAGAGCAATGTCTGGACTCTGTTTAATCTCAGGAAGCTTAGAAGTTCTTAGAGGGAAAATTTTTTTTTAAATATAAAAATCCATATATCTATCTATATTACATACAGATCTTTTTATATACATATATACTTCACTGGGGTTCATACCGGGTTGTACATATAAATAAAAGAATATATAGACACACAAATACATACATACACATATATGAACCTTTTTCATACTGGTTCGCTTAGGGTTTTATAGGTTTTTACATAAACAGGTAAAACTCCTCTGCAAACACAGCACCACATTGTGAAAGTTTTAAAACTGAAAAGGAAGGATGTGGCAATTGTATAGTTCAGACAATGACAAGGAGAACTAAATCAAGATTACTTATCCATGACCTTAATTTCAGTATTCAAAATTCATTATTCCACTTTAGCTTTTACAAATTTGTCTTCTATGCATTAATTTCTACTTCCAGTAGAGCACAACATATTATACTTTCCAAGCCAGTTCAAAACTCATAAGGTGATACTTACAGACTCTATTTTGTCAGGATCAGACAGCAGTGCTGCTCCCATACCTCCCTGGGAAAATACAGAGAAACTGTTACACACTAGGCAAACACATTTTCCAGCTCAATTAATTTTTTGCCTAATTTTGCAGACCACTGAAAAAGTACAATGTTATGTTAAGAAAAAAAAAGAAAACCAAAAAAAAGGAGAAAATGGCAAAATCTAAAATGCAGAAGTATTAGTGAACACTTTGCCAAAACATATTTCCTAGAACCTTTACAGAATAATTAAGCAGTAATTCAAGGTACCAACTTGCTCCCATTACTTTACGGAAAACATAGGATTTAAAAAAAAACTTTTTCAGCTACTGTAATCATCTGGTTTCTACTCATTAAGTGACAGCTGAACAGATCCATTGTTTTAACATTATACACCACATTCGAGAGGTTCTGGTATCAGTAGTTTCTATCTACACACTACATTGAGAAAAACAGGCTAAGACAAATTAAGTGGCTGTTTTGAATACAAACTATGAGTACTTTAATATTTTAGCTCTTCTTTCTGCACAATCTCATCTGAATACATAGATTTAGAGGCCAACAGGCAAACATAAGAAATAAGTTCAAAAATCACGTGAACTTTTTTGACCCAAAACTACTGTCAGAGAATAACCACTCGCCAGCATTTGTGGCCAGGAGGTGGAGGGAGGCAATTCTGCCCCTCTGCTCTGCTCAGACCCCATCTGGATTACTGTGTCCAGCTCTAGAGCCCTCAGGCACTGAAAACACATGGACCTGTTGGAGCAGATCCAGAGGAGGGCCACAAAAATGACAAGAGGGATGGAACATCTCTGCTATGAAGAAAGGCTGAGAGTGTTGGTGTCATTCAGGCTGGAGAAGAAAATGCACCAGGCAGACCTTATTGCAGTCTTTAGGTACTTAAAGGGGGCTTGTAACACACTAACCTGAGCATATAAACTTCATATATGCTTACCCACTTAAGGATACAGCATGTTTAATTACATCACCAAACCTATTCTTCAGTGAGATTTCTAAAAGACTATGTTATTCTACTGTATTGGGGCCATGACACATTAAAGACTCTTGTTTATTGAAAAAAAAAACACCAAAAAATACCCCAAAAAACAAAACCAAAGAAAAATCCCCATTGTCAGAGACTATATTGGGTACCGTCAACACTGCTGTTGCACCCCCACCACCACTTCCAAGAAGTCTAACCTAACCCCAACACACGTGCCCAGACCCAAAGTCTGAGACCCCCAAGCGACGGTGTTGGGCACGTGTACCATTGCTGAGTGGTGGGGGTGGTTAGGCAAAACAGTCCTCAGAATATGCCAAATGGTTCATGAAAGCTAATAAATATGTAATAAAACAGCCAGTATAAGCCAAAAACTAACAGTGTGGTGGGGAATGTACAGCAGGGAACATCAGAAGGGACGTACAGAAGAAAGGCAAGGACAAAATGCATGTTCTCTCACCAGACTGGACAACAAATTGGACTGATAGGGCATCGATGTTCCGTAGTGGTAACTCTTTCCAAAAAAAACCTTTTTTCTCTCTCTTTCCCCATTCTCATTTGCGCACCAGTTGTCAGGCAAATAAAGCTACCTGGTGCTTGACTCTGTTTTGAGTCTTAATTCTGTCTCCAGGAATTCGAACAAAGATCATCGGCCTGGTCTCTGACCAGAGTGTGACACGCATGTTTGTCTGTACAAAAATTTAACTGCTTGAACTTGTTTGGCCCAGAAAACCAGAACAGATATTCTGCACTCCACACTTCCAAAAGGAAAACTTTCTTTAAGTGTAATAAAAATCCACTTGCCTTAGTAGAATATTCTTTTGGGCATCCCATGTTGACGTCAATACCAGCTACATCACTCTCTCTGAAAGAAACAATTAAAATGTTTTTCAGCATATTAGAACAAGATCAGGAAACAGACATCTTTCCAGGAAACTTTTTCCATCGTCACTAAGACTTAAATGAGACGGTTTCAATGACCAGTGTTGTGCAGAAGCTGCAAATGCTCACCTTAAATATATTTATATAGAATTAAGCATATGTAAGTATATCCACCACTAAATTCACCCCTGTCACTAAAGCAAGTCCTATTCAAACTTCAATCTATTTAAAGTGGAGGCTTAAAAACACCTTTAAAAAAGCTTTGAGGCACACTTTTCATTTCTGCACAATATTTTATTGGGAGCCTGAAACCACAAACAATAGGATACATTTTCAGGCATATTGGTCTTACTTGCAGCGGTGCAATATCCACAGAAAGTACATATTGGAGAGATCAAGGACACACTTACTGTACTAGCAAGTATAGAACTTATGCAGTTGCTGTTCTGAGAAAGAACTATTTTAAACAGAAGTTGGAGGTAGACCTCTATACCACTGGGCTCTTGAGACATTGCACTTTACTGTGCAGCTCCTACAGAACTTCTCTTTGTCCTAACAAGACCTACCTTGATCCTCTCAATCAAAATAATTGTCTTTCACAATAGTTCCTCTGTACAAAAAAAAACCTAAACAAACCCATGGTGGGAAGGGGGTGAGAGAAGATGACTTACACAAGCTTAGCTACTGCCAGGGCTCTTTCAGCATCTGCTGAACCCTGTTGGTAAAAAAAGAGGATTTACAATTATAAAGTATAAAATTAATTTTAAAATGTGCTCGTTTGCACATGTGCATAACTGTATTTGCTCTAAACATTTAGTACAAAGTGACAAGAGACTCATTCACAGCACAACAGATAGCTAAAGCATGTACCAAGTCAGACACTGAATGACAAAAGATGATACTAAAAGGGATCTGCAGAAGTCTATCCATTCTCTTCATGTACAGGAGTATCAAATGTTCTCAGCCCATCACCATTAGATTTTATTTGTCGTGTTCTTAAGAAGCTCCACTAATAACAATTGTACAACCTCTAAAAGCAACTTATTCCAAGGCTATCATTACCACTGAAAAAGGTCTTTTTCAATATTTAACACAGTCCACACTTCTCCCTCTCTGCAACCCCCATCATCCCTTCTCCCACAGAGAGTGGTCTCAAAGAACAACTCACTACCTTCTTCTCTCCACCAGCTGTTAAATCATTTGTGCAATGTTAATGCACACACCAATCATCTCAGCAAACAGTAAGACTGTTTACTGGGCAGTGAAAAACTTAGACATGTGATGAAACGTCAGCATAATTTCTTTTTGGTATCTATACGTTTGGAAATATATCAAAGATATCTATTACAAAAACAAGCTGCTCTCACAGAGCACAGCAGTCATCTTAATCACCTCTTCTGAAAACAGCTGCATGGAGAGCTAATAATGTAGCACCTTGATTACATGACTACCAACAGATCAGAAATCCTGCAACACATTTGGTGTGAAATTTTGCATCCACCTGAAGCATAAAAAAATTGATAGTCTGCATTACAGAGAGCTGCATTAGACTTAGATTAATGTTACCAGCACTATCTTGTTTAACTATGTTGTTATTAGAACCTATGGTTGGCTTCTTACCATTTGAAAGACAACACGATGCCTCTCCCTTTCACAGGTTCTGAAAACAACTCTTTCATTAGGTGCAACAAAGTCCACAGTTTCAAGTACTTCTATATGAAATGAGAAACAGATAAAACAGACAAAAATTAAACACAAATGTAATCATATGACCATATAACTTGCATATAAATGAAACACAATCAAATAAATCTTCCATGAACAGCAGAACTAATACCTCCTATGAGTCTTTGCAATACATTTCTTGAACATTGCTGTTATCCTCCCATAGGATTCCCTCATCAACCCCCAGCCTGTTTCTTGGGCAAGCATCAGCACCAGAACAAGTCTAATGATTAATCAGCCAGAATGAACATAACTGTAGCATTCTTGGGAAGGGGCAGGAGGGGAAAGTAGATTTGTAGTGGACTTCTGTTCTCCAACAGGGACACTGCAAACAACTGTTAACCATGCCACAGACAGCTAACATTTATAAAGACGCGTGCTTGGAAACCGTATCTGAATTTGTTTCTTGGACACTAACAAACTTTTCTTGAAAAATTAGAAGGCTTTGTAACTAATATTAGTAGTTTTGCTCAGGAAATTATATTTTATATTTGCACATACACATGCAACATTTCTGAAAAATAAAACAAAAAAAAAAACCAAAACCAAACCAACAACAAACCAAACCAAGAGGTTTTTACTGTTTATTCTTTATAATAATAGCACACAACAATGCACTGGAACTTTATTGTCCTATCTACTCCAGCTACTAGTTTCTTCCACCTGCTACCAGGAAGCACAATGCTGAAACATCAGCAATGGATTTCCAACACTGAGCCCATTTTTCTTAATAAAAAGAGACAGACATAATTCCAGGAGCTAGAATTAGAGTCTTTTGTTTCAGAAGGTCTATACTTGCACATCCAGTGACCTTTGCCAAAAAGTGTAATAGAAAACTCATCAAATCCTCATAAGAAACTAAGTCAATGGTGGAGACAGGCTTTACGTTAGGTCTGAGAAGACTAACAAACCATCGGTTACTAATGCATCAGCCCTATCCTCCAAAAACATTTGTCATTTTCCTGAGGGACACTGACTGACCTACTGAAGTTCCTTAAGAAGGGAAACTGAAAGTCTGAAACTGCAGAACAGCAGACAGCTGTAAGACAGAGCTTCAAAAGATTATTTCAAGTTCCTATACACTGTTTAGAGAGATTACATGTACTGATACCTCATTGAATCACTATAAAATTACTTCAGGTAATTATTTTTTCTCTTAATGAGAAAGAAAGAACGCTTACAGGTATTGACAAAAGAAACACTATACTTGCCATTTATAACCCTCCTACACTGCAGCATCTTTATATCAATCAGCTCCTGAGAAGAAAGAATAAAAATACCTCAATAAATTGAAGTGAACTCTATAAACAGTTGCCCATTTTATTAAATAACTATCAAGCAATACCAAACATAGAAAAAGAACACAAATGAAACCAAGAGTTTAGCTATACAACACATTCAACTGACATTTCAAAATACGAATAGAACATATGAACATAAGCACATGATTTGTTTACGCAGCTCTAGAAGAACCCTTTTGTTCAAATACCTATCTAGTAAGCTGGAAACAAAGCAGAATGAACCATCTAGAGTGGAAGAGGAAGATAACAATGCTATAGTAACAAGACCACATTAAGAATCAGTGTAAGTTTGTACTGGCCAAACACACAGGAGAACAAAACAACAATTAGGCTTTAAAAATTATGTACCTTAATCCTGAGTTTTAACAGTTTTCTACATTTGTTAAAAGATAAAATGAAGCTTTGTGTTGACTTTTACTGGAAAACCTAATATACAGTCACTGTTTATCTGGAGTTTGTGGCTTTCCTTTAGAAGAAACCCAGAACCTCAAACTACATATATTTTTAGCTTAACTGCAGATTTATGCAATTCAATGTATTAAGGACACCATTTGAGTCCTTTTCTCGTATGTATCTCATCAACTTTATTACAGGTAAGCTTTAAGACAAACTGCCTTTAATTGACAAAGGGCTACAGTTTGAGCAAATGTAAGTTGTTAGCTGCTGAAATAAATATGCAGTTGTTAATCCAACTGTTATATAAATTGAGGAAAAACAAAACAAAACAAAACACAACCACCCTACTGTGTTTGTTACCTGAAGAAGTTGAATCTACTATGGTCTCTTTATTTTAATAAATAAGACAAGGTTTAAGATCTGGTGATTCACAGGTAAGTGATAAACAAGAAATAAATTAAGCTAATCTCAATCTGCTTGCATTATACCATAGATTTTATGAGTAGTGCTTTTAATTTAAGGTTCTAACTAATGCTTCTTATCAGGTACTGTTCATGTTAAATTCTGAAACAGCTTTGAGTTCCAAAATGTTGAGGAAACTAGGGAGAAAGGATTAGAAACCAAAAGGATAAATCAGAAAATGAAGTTTTACCATATAGAAAATGCAGTTGCCCATGCCGTTCTGCTGCCAAACAACTGCAGCATAATAACCAAAAAATAACTGTTCTGTTTTATACTATCTTGTCAGTTCTTAAGAAAATCTACAAGCCATAGTTCCTTTGACAAAATCCATTAAAACAGATATCTAACTGCAGCTCTTCATCCACGTCAAAGACATCTTAACTCCCTTGTCTCTCAATAGCAAGATGGAGGAGCAAGGGGAAGACAACGTAGAAGAACTTATTTTTGAGGTGAGATGAGGAAAGCAACAGTAAGTTTTTGGCTACAGGAATAACTTTCACACTACAAGTTTTGTTATGTACTGCAACTTGTTAAGCAAGTTTGAGGGTCCCTTCTTTTGCAATACTGCTTTTGTGGAATCGTGGCAAAAAGCATGTGTGAAGGAGAAACTGCTTTAGCTATAGTTTACAGTGCTGGATTAAATCTCACAAAGGCTGTGTGAAGCCTGACTCACTTTTAGTGTTTAAGACTCCCAGATTCTGTAACTCTATGCTTGCGATCTTTCTGTACACGATCTACAGTTAGCCTCCTAGAGAATGAAAAAATATATACTCTCACTTAATCCCATGTAAAGCAGAGTTCATAATTCATGAACTGGGAAACTGTTAATTACAGCTTGTCAGAGAACACCACCACCCTATTACTCTCAGTTTTATGATAGACAGTGGTAACTGTTCTACTGAATTTTGAGATTTATTCTGAATCATCCAGCAATAACTCTTCTTTCACATGCAGATGATACAACTAATTAAATATAATTTGTAATTCTGGAAGCTAGAGACAAAAGGTGAACTGTGGCCAAGATAAGAATAGCATACTCTCTGTCTTCTCCCTCAAAGAGGGCAGTGAAGAACAAGAACTGCTGTGAAGATTCCTGGAGAACACCATAAAAGACCGATTCTGACAGTTTGCTTCAGCCTGTCCCATTGGTACAGATCAAACATTCTCCAGGAAAGGGAGTATTTAAGCCATGTTTACATTATGTTTAACTTCTTCCAAGTTTGTGTTTGGTTTTTTTTTTTGGTGGTGGGGAGTTGTTTTGTTTGTGGGTTGGGTTTTTGTTTTTGTTTGTTTGTTTTTAAATCTCGTCTGAGTCATGTAACTTGTACTGGTGCCTACATCTGAGGAGAGCTAATTATAGCACTGAAGGGGAAAATGGAAACACTGATGCACTGCAACAATAAAGGCAGTGAACACTACCTACTTTAAGTTACAGAGCAGTCCTACTAATAACATTTGCAGCAAACTGGAGTCTCAACTTTGGGCAGCTTTAAGAAAAGTGGTTAAGCAACAAGGAGAGTAGCGCTGTGAGGGGTACATATGGACCCTCTGGCTTAGCACAGCAGAACTAACTGGGTCAGAGAGTAGGTCAGACCAAGACCTTCTTCAGTGTTATGACACTACTACAAAAACAAAAAAACAACAAAACAAAACCAACATCCCCCCCCAAAAGCCCAAACAAACAAAAAACAAAACACAGCGGAATATGAGGAATATGATGAGTGTTTTGTCTAAATGAATTTATTTTATTGAACAGTCTTAAAATATGAGTTTCCCATAGACATTCTTCTTTCGTCATTTTTCTAATGAAAAATATAGGTAAAAGGAAAAAGTCCTGCAATAAACAAAGTACACTTGTACTTTTTGTAATAAGAATGTTATCAGAGTACACCGCCTCATCTGCTCATCCTTCATACCTCACAATACACGATATCAGCACCGTAGTCCAGAGCAAGAAGACGCATCGGTAATGTTCCCACTCGCACCATGGGAGCCAGGATCTTCTTTCCTCTAAAACACAGAGGTGTGTTCACCGTCATCCCTGTTGTTGTGCTACCTGAAAGAGAAAATCCAGGAGGATCACCATGGACCATCGTTTCCTGCTGTAAACGCCCAGAACTCTCCTTTGGCGGGAAGGGGGTAGCGCGGGGTGGTAGGGCCGAAGGTGTGACCCTGTCAAACCTGGCTGGGTTCTCTTAGCCACCCGCAGACCGCCTGCTCCGCTGTCGCTTACTCAACTCCTGCAGCCATGGCATCAGTTGCATGGAGCCGTGAGCGGGAGCTCAGCGGCCCCCTGAGGCGCGGGGACAGTACGTGCTCCTGCCCCCGAGCGAGGAGTGCTGGCCCGGCTCTGTCACAGCCCCTCGCGGCCATGCTTGCTCCCGCGGGGCGCGGCACTGGGGTCAGCTCCCAGCCGCCAG